GTTGGTTATATGTTAATCATTGGGTAAGTTATGGAATTATGTGGTTTTACGAGTGAACAATATTTGAAGATTATAGTAATCACAAATGATTGGATGTATGTATGATGAAGATGGGGTATCTATAAATGTGACTGTTTTCAATCATGAATGAATGCCAGTGAATTGGTTTGAATTCAATAGGTGTATATTCGTACTTTTAATTAAATCACTGAAGAATATATGACGATACAATCATTATTGTTTGATATTATTTATTGGGCGAATGTTATTGGTTTTTTATAAATTCTGGGGTGTCTAGTAATGGTGGTGTCCATTTGTACATTTAATTAAATCATCGAAGAACACAATTGATTTGGTTTGAATTCATTTGGTGTCTATTTGAATTCAAGAAAGTTTTTTTGCCACATACCCTCTCCTTCTTCATTTGAACACATGACATTTTCTAGAATTTTTAAATTTTCTATTTTCCACTTGTCATTTTATTGTATTTTTCGTTTTATTAAATTAAAATTTCACATTTAATATGTAAGGTAATATATATGTAAGGTATTTATTAAAAATGATTTATATATGTAATGTATTCAATACATTAAAGCCTCATTAATTTTAATAAAATAAAAAAATTCTCATTTTTATATAAATTCAAACTTTTCAAATTGTTAAAATTTCATTTTTTTTTTAATAAATCCATGTAATACATGGTTTCACACCTAGTGATAGAATATAATTGAGTTGGTTTGAATTCAAATGGTGTCTATTTGAACTATTAATTAATTCATTATTGCATTGCATTGATTGATTCAACTGGGGTATCTATAAATGTTATTGTTGCATTCGTCATTGAATACAAATGATTTGTTTTTCATTTTAATTTGTGTGTATTCATAAGTTTAAGCAATTCATCGAAAAAGATAATTTGATGCAATCGTTAATGTTAGAAACTACCAGCATTGAATAGTATACGAGGATGCAGTTTTGTTTCAATCATGATTGAATATAGTCCAACGTGATTGATAAGGTGTGATAAAAAATTTTAAAAAAAAAGTGGTATTGTAATAAACTCAAATATATATATATATATATATATATATATATATATATATATTGGAACAAATAATTCTACACAAGATAGTGAAGGTGGCTACGAAGATACATCTGATGAAAATGAAAGTGATAATGAATCAGGTTAAAGTCTTTGATAATTGTGATGAAAACGAATTCTGCATAATGTTTACAAAATTTATATATATATATATATATATATATATATATATATATATATATATATATATATATATATATAATTTAATTGAAGCAGGTTGGGACTCTGAATCAAGTAACGAGTGTGTAGAATTTTATATTCACCTGGTGGATCTTCTAAGTTGCGGAAACCTACTGTCGCGAAAGAAATTATGCCTGATGAGCATGTTACATTCGAATCACTAACACATGCAATAAATGTGTATAGAAAATATGCAGAACATGATGGGTTTGATGTTCGGTTGAACACAACTACAACGTTTCGGCATGACAAATCGATAAAGATAAAGTATGTTGTTTGCAATCGCGACGGGAAAATACCAGATAGAAGCCACGACACAATGGATACAAATAATGGTGAAAGAAAACATAGGAATTCAAACTTTATTGTAACGGATTGTAAAGCATTGATAAAGTTTGAACGAGTTGGTGTTGGAAGAAGTGAGTTTCAAATTAGAGAGTTTCAAGAGTTGCACAACCACCCTCTTTATACAACAGAAGAGCGTATACATTCAAAAAAAAGATAGAAAATTAAACAGTGCAGACAAGGAGTTTATTATACGCGCAGCAACAGCAAATGTCGGTGCAACAAAGGCACATAAACTTCGAGCTGCGTTAAAAGGTGGATATGAGTGTGTCGGTCCCGAGGAGAGTGATTTCAAAAATTTTAGGAAAAAAATAGGTGACATTATAGGTAACAAGGATGCGCAATTGGTAGGGAATAAAATGAATGAGAGGAAGACACATTATCCAAATTATTCCTTGGAGTATAAATGTGATGATAGCGTGTTAAATGCTATGTTCTAGGCTGATGAAACAGATAAGGTATTCTACAAGGAGTTTGGGGATGTTATATCTTTTGACGCTACATTTAGAACAAATAAGTAAGTGTTATTCTGCTTGTTATTTTGTATGATGACTTTTTTCATAGTCAATGTCTGTACGATTTCATTAATAATGAAAATTATTGTTATTCGGGTCTGGAATGGTATTTGTCCCTTTTACATCTATTGATAATCACAAAAGATCTGTTACTGTTGGTGCTGGTCTACTTAGTAATGAGAAAATAGAGTCTTATTGTTGGTTGCTTGAAGCATTTTTAAAAGCTCATGGAAAAGACCCAACGTTGGTGTTAACAGACCAGGATCCAGCGATTCTGCAGGCAGTTGAGGTTGTATTCCCGAACGCCAAGCATAGACTATGCTTATGGCATATAACAAAAAAACTACATGCGAAGGTATGTTGTATGGGTAATTCACTTACATATGGTGAATATATAATTATATATGAATCTTGTTGATGAATGTACATTTATATGTTAAAATATATGGGTAATTTGAAGCTTAAAAAGTATATGTGGTAGTCACGAAATGGTTGTGTATCAGGTCAGCGGGGATGTTTTAAAGAACACAAATTTCAGAAAATGCTTCAACAAACTAGTGTGGAATATATATCTGGATCCCCTTGATTTTGAAACAGCGTGGAAGTCATTGATGAAGGATCACAATCTGCAATATAAACGTTGAGAAGGGTTAAATGGCAGTTCGTGCTCCTTGGGAGGTACAAAATAAATGACTACTTGAATCGGGATTTTGAGCATAAAGATTCCACTGACCTGTAAAAAGTGGGCCTAACCCTTGGGGATGTGGTAATACATCTAAGAAATTATTCCATCGAACATACTCCACTCTGGATGCAGGAATAGCGACATGGACTAAATGCCCTGTCCAAGCCAAGGAACTTACGCCGAAAATTCCTGATAAATGGTTTAAAGACATGTATCACAAGCAGACTTCATGGATACCAACTTATTTTAAGGACATATCAATGCATGGACTGATGAAAACAACTTTCAGGTCTGAAAGTGCGAATTCATTTTTTAATAAGTATTCGCATCATGGGAATTCCTTTTGTATTTCATGGTGAACTATGATACAACGATTGGAAAACAACGTAACACACAACGTCGTCATGATAATGAAACTAAGAGAACCAGGCATAAATTTGGAATGTGCACAGGATTAGGGCAACATGCAGCAAAAGTGTATATTAATATAGTTTTTGCAGAAATTCGAAAGGAAATATACAAAGGAGCATGGAATTGTTCAATTGATAGTGTAGAAAATATTAATGGGTGGCAGGTAGTAATGATTACACATTTGGACAAAAGAAGACATGTGAAGACAAAGTGTAAGGTTAGTTCATAAAATTAATCTGAAAGTACATGCATCAGTAATGCTGGTAAAATTATAAACAAGGAAATTTTTTTATTGGTAAAAAAAATAATGTGGCTAAAGTAAGGATTAAAATCTTCATGTAGGTGGAATTGAAATCGCCAGAAAACGAAGTGAAATGTACGTGCGACCTCTTCAAGCGAATGGGCATTTTGTGTCGACATGTGTTTGCAGTGCTGAAGAATAATCACATTTAGGAGATACCTAAGCAATATATTTTGCGTATGTGGGAGGAGGGATATTATTTCTAGCCATTTGTTGGTTAGTAAGAATGGGCTTGCTGGAATGGAAGATGAAACTTTTAAATTGTTAACCGAAGCATATAGTAACATGGAGTACTGTCTGGAGCGTCTTAAGAATGATAAAGAAAAATTAGAAGATTTTGTAAAGACAACACGCACGATGAGGAGTGTGATGGAGCAAGATCTGGTTAATAATGGTGCATTGGATGAAAGTGATGAAGCTGTGTTTAGGATATTTGGGGTTAGTATTCCAGAAGACATTGAAATTAATGTCCCACCAGTGATACATAATAAAGGGAGTGGGACTAAGAAACGGATGGTTAGTGCATCGGAGAGGGCAGCTACATCTTCAAAAAGTGGTTCACGAAGGTGCACAGGATGCAATTTATATGTGAATCATAATTGGAGGACTTGCAAAGTAAGAATTGTGCGTGAGATGTCCGATGGTAGTTAGATTAAATGTTAGTTTACTGAAGTTTTGGTTCATCATTGAAAACTAAATGACTTATGTTTGCACAGCTGCATTTGTAATTTTTTATATTGAATAATATCATTTTGTTTTGTTTGTTGATTTAGTTTCTTTATCAGATAACTTTTTGGTGCAATTTATTAGATATAGTATGATGCTATTGATGTATGTGCCGATTGTATAATGGCATGTAATTTACGTATATGGTGATGGGTGTGTGGATTATGTATGTGTAAAATGTATGAAGATATGGTATGATGCTTGTAAGGTTTTTGTTGTTTGGGTATGTGATCTTATAAAATGTTAAGAGTTATGTATGTTTTAGTGGACTAAAATAAAAAAGGAAAAGGTTGTACAAGGTACATGTCTAGTGTTGTAGTAGTTGAGTATGCACAACATTTATGATGGTCTTATTACAAAATGAAGTGGGGTTGTTAGTAATTAAATCAAATGTAACAAATTCATACCACCCGTGTATCCTGTGATGTCAAAGTCTAAAAGTTTAAGATATAAGGTTGGAGAGACATGTTCATACAGCTCTGTTATGTAACATAAAAGACATGTATAAAAAGGTATTATTGATTAGTTGTGATTAACAATAACCACAATAGACACTCATGTAAGAGTTAGAAAAGACATTTTCATATAATATGGAGACAGAAGGGAAGCACATAATCAAAAAGCAAAAGATAGATAGTTAAGTTGTTTTGAGTCATCTACATAATAGAGTAAAAGTAAATAACATCTTATTCTTCCTAGAAAATAACAAAAAAAGACTTTTTAACACAACATTCTTTAACCAAATTCAATCAGCCTGTCATGTATCCTGGTTGCATCATCTTTCAATATTTGTTGTCGGTTAGGTGCAGACAGCTTTTGGAATTCCGCTACCTGATGAAGGATTGAATCCGTAAGCAGGTTGTAGTCAGAATTAATTATTTTGCAAAGATATATGACCCGTAGTCTAGATAATTGGTTGTCCTGTGCAAGCGACTCTGACTTGCAGCCAGTTTTGAAATCTCTAATGTTTCCACCCATAAATGTCTCCATGTGACGCATAGTAAAAATACCACAGTCAGTGTTGTTGTTTACTGTTGACCAAGATAACTGTGGGATTTGTTTTGGAGCATGTGAAAAGGCTTCAACGTTTGGATGGTGAACAAACCGCAAATAGTCACTCATGTATGATTGTTGTAAATGATATAGGAATAAATATTAAAAAATGGATTTATATATAAAAATAATTCCAATCTGTATTTGTATCTTACAATGATATCTGGTAGTAGACCATATGTTTTGTGGGTTTCTTCATCTCTTTTGATGTTGTCTATGATCCAAAAGGTTGGTTGATAAAAGTCGAGCATGACAAGCAAAATATGAAATTCACGGACGACTGACAGGAATAGCTGAAATAAATATTAAGTGTATGATTTAAAATAGTTTAGTGTTGGTATTGTCAATCCATCAACTATAGCTTACATGAATATCAAAACAAGTATTAAAAACAATGATTAATTATAAAACGTGGATATAGAAGAATACTAAGTGGACATCGCGAAGTGTTGCATCAAAATCATCAATGGATATGGTCAAATTTTCAAGAAAGATTTTATGACGATCTTCCTCTGTCAGCACAGTATTTTCGAGATACAAACTCTGTGAAGAAGATATACAATGTAATGTTAGAGGCTGTTAATAATGAATGTGCATAATGTAATAGGAAGATTAAGTTATAGATGAAATTTGGAAATGTGGCAGTCACATATGTGCTAGGTCAGGAGACTGTTTAAATAAACATCATTAATGAATGCAATTGTTTATTAAGAGTGTACCGTCAAGGTGGTATAGGCAAATAGTCTGCGAGGAGACAAATTGGAACGCAAATCTTCATCGAAATTTAGCGGATGACTCCAACAATCAAGTACATGTCCAAACAGTTCACATTTGGGGAAAAAACTTTCCATTTGAAAGCGTTCAGCAGCTACACCAACACAAGTACGAAAAAGTTCATCACTGCATAAAATAAAATGTCAAAAGTTAAATAATGTTTATATAACTACTTTTTTTATCAGTTATGTAGAAATTTTTATATACCTAGGATGACCTTGTGTTGAGAAAACCCAATCAGATATGTCCTTCTGAGAACGTGTTATATGCTTGGTTATATCGATTGCACGTACGATGAACGGAGAACGTAGTGTAGGGGGCTTATTTCTTGGCCTTAACTCTCTTGCGCGGACAACAACATCAGCACTGTCAATAGGAACAATTGATAGAAGAGGACTTGTACATTGATCTTTTGGAGTCTTCATGGTATTTTTCAGTGGTGAGTTGCTAATGATATCAACAAATTCTTGTGTCAACCCGATGTTCCAGTTTGGAAAGGGTGAATTGGGGAACGATTTAACAGAATGTTCAGCCATTTGACATGACGTGTTAATTTGTTATGCGTTGTCTGACCACCATTGGGATAAAGGTCCAATGTTGCTTGCATCGGTAGAACTGCCACCTCCATATTTCCCGGATGCTTCATTCAGGAAGATTCTGATCTTGGCTTTCCATTCGTAGAAATCACAAATAAGAGGATGCCTTTCGATTGCTTCTCCAAGTTTTGATTCAAACAAATGGTTATCCTCAACAAGCTTGTTGAACATACTTTCAATGGTGGAAAGGTATTCCTGGAAACATGATGATTGATTAGTAATATGTGATAAATATGGAAAAAAGCATGCGTATTTTTTCTAACCTCAACTGATCCATTCTCCGAGTTGACAGTGTCGGCATTATCATCCTGTGGTATGTAAGGATCCTGAAGTTCACCAGTACCGATACCACCATTTTTGATCTCATACTCCTCACGTAAGCGCATGGTTTCCACATCCCAATAACATATAGCAGGTCTTCCGCGGTCGATTGTAACCGCAACACATGAAACATGCTCCATGTATATAAGCTTATGTGATAAAAAAAAGGATGATTAGATAATAAGTGAACAAGAATTAGGCAATGATTCATCACTGATGTATTGTTTTAAGCATCATTGACTAAGTAATTGATGAATAAGTAGAATTAATGAAATAAGTTGAGTTGTAGGATAGGTACCGTCAATAGGTTAATAGGAACAACATAGTAAGATGTGTCGCTCATGGAATTCCATGCATGTTTCATATTTTTCAAACACTCTAACGCATATGAACACCAATCTATGTCGCTTAAATCTAAATCCTGTGAAACCCTTGAAAGCATTGATACATCACATGTGCCCATGCTCTTGGATTGTCCAAGAGTGTTACAAATAAGCACCAAAAAAATTGACTTTAAACAATAACCCAACATCTTTTAATCTCTTAATCACCCTTTGTACGCCTTTGGGCCTAACATCATTTTCTGACTTGAACTGTGCGGACCACAAATCAACAGTTTTGTCTTTAGTGGATGTGAACTTTAATGAATTGATATTTGTATTCCCCAAAGGGAGACCCAACATGTCATGTATCAATTGCCTATTGATTGGTATCTCACCATGCTTGACATGGTCAAAGTTGTTGACCACGTAGTACCCAATTCATGATGCCAACACATCTACTCTTATATTTAAAAGGGGACTATATCCAATGGATGATAGATATTCCTTTTGTCCAATCGTCAAACTGTACATTGTGGAGAATAATATCTTTGGTGATGTACGAATATGAATTCGCCTTGGTTGTATTGAAGTACCGAGATGAACTCCCTTCTTTGATTTTATGTTGTTCAGTTTCTTGACTTTAACTCTTGTCTTAATTGATTGAGGGTTGTCCATGTCTTCTCTAGCTTTCTTCTCCTGATGTTTGACAACTTTGGTTGTTACAACCGGAGGTGATTTCCTTTTATTTTGGCTGATAACTGGGTTAGGGTCTTCAAAATCAGAATCATCATGTGTTGGTTGCTGATTATCTTTAGACTTAAAATACATTTTTTAATATCTGTGTATTTTTTGGTGGAAAATACGATATAGCATTAAAAAAGTAAATAAAATGAATGAATTACACTAGAAATTTAAAAAAGACAGTGTTAGTGAGCTACCTGATTTTGTATAACCATGCACAGGTGAATGGGAAGTGGAATGTGGATCACATTTCTGCTTTGAGCGATTTTCATTAATCACTTCAACAGAAGCACTATGTCCAGAACAAAGACCTTGTATTGTTGTCGAGGCATAAACAAAAGTAATGAAGAGTATGCTTTTTGGTGTGTTAACTAATTCAAAGAATAATAAAAACAACTACCTGTTTTCTGAATTGGTTTACCAGTTGAAACAGGTTTGGAATTTGACCTTTGATTCAGAACTTTAGCTTTTGCAGAGGTTGGTATGGGGGTAATCCTGATAGAATCAGATGAATCTACATCCATATCTATTATTATTGGATTTGAAGGGTCATTCTTGTATTTCATTAGTGAGTATCTATTACGGATACGCTCACTTTTCATGCGACCTAGTGTAGCTCAAACATGATAACAAATTATAAGTCCAATCTTATTGTTAACTACGCCCATATACATAATGCAAATTGCAACATATGTATAAAACAGAAGGAACATACATTTATATGGAATGTATGGTGCATAAAATGTAGTGCAAACAATATAAAATGTAACACATAAGCATGAAATTAGGGCAAATAAGATCATACATGATAACAAAGACATAAGTCAAATCTTACAGTTAACTACAAAAATTAACACTTTAGCAAGTAAGACATATGTATGAGATTAGGGTAAAATTATAAGTCTAATTTTACTGTTAACTACCCCCATAAACATAATGCTAATTGACATATATGAATAAAACAGAAAGAACATACATTTATATGGAATCTATGGTGCATATATGTAGTGCAAACAATATAACATGTAACACATAAGCATGAAATTAGGGCAAATAAGATCATACATGATACCAAAGACATAAGTGAAAACTACCTGTTAACTACACAAATTAACATAATGCAAATGTTGAAACATATTAATACAACATAAATAACACACATTAAAAAGGAATCTATGAGTAATAAATATAATGCAAACACTTTAGCAGGTAAGACATAAGTTTGAGATTAGGGAAAAAAGACACGTGGCAATATTTACCTAATCAAACCATCTACATGGCAAACTCATCTCAATCGATGAATTGTAGTTGAAGTTAACAACATACTTATGCCAATAACATCATTTAAGCTCTTGCAAAAAGATTTACATGATTAAAAAAAACAGTGAACATATAAATGATAAAATAGGTCATGTATCTTCCATGAACCGTTTGACAACATCGAAATTATACATTACAAATCATGTAAAACATTGTATACAAATTATACAAATTGGAGTTATATGATTGAAAAAAAAACAAAAAGGTTAACAGTGAACGTAGAACGAACTAACCACTTGTGCGATTCTCGAATGCACATCCTCCTTCAAATTCGACCTCCATAAGCTTTTATATCAATGATTTTACCAATAAAACGTATGTAATCTTGAAGAATCCCAATGTTCTAGCTTCACATTGGTTGCGTATCATCAAATCGCAAAAACTACGGGATTATTGATATGTAATGTGAACCAAACTGATGTAGAAGGATCAACACATTCCAACTTAAAGATTCTTTCAAATCATCGAATAATAAAAAAAACACAAACTTTTAACTCTACTGTAACTATTGAGGTGGTGAATGGAAGAATACGGATGGATGAAATACACGGATATTTTGGACACGGAGATATTAGGTACGGACGGATATCTTGGAGATGAAAATGGTAGGTACGATTAATTGGCTATATGTGTTATCAATCTAATTAAAATAACAAAACACTTAATTTAATATTGCATAAATAAAAAATACCCTAATTTAATATAATTCAATATAGCATAATTTACGAAAATCAACTGGTGTATAAAATTTACACTTTAAGGACAATATTTTCAAAAAGTAACAAAAATGGACTGTTCTCACGTTCTCAACCTTTTACGTGTTCTCAATATAACTATATATATATATATATATATATATATATATATATATATATATATATATATATATATATATATATATATATATATATATATATATAGTGACATCCCTAAAATCACGACAAAAAAAGACCGATTTCATTTATGTTTTTTATAATAATTTCATAGTAAATCCTTTTGATTTAAAAGAGTTGCGGAATTTGTTCCCAAAAACAAAATATGATAAAATAATATTTATCAAAACATTTCGTCAAAAGATGCATTTTCATTATATAATCAAAACTCGGGATGTCATGTTCCGATACATACCATAAAGCATAAACAATAACATTACAAGTCATTCAACAAATATTTACATATACAGACTTGTAAACAAAACAACTTGATGATTCATCAATCTTATGCCCTCGCGCCACTACCTGTAATACAAATAAACTGAGTGGGTCAGGCTTGGGAGTCTGGTGAGCATATAGGGTTTTCAACCCACAATAAATAATTATATTTAATTTCACCAACCAACAATAACCCGATTACCCATTCCTGTTATCCTCACTTTATGTTCCTAAAACAACATCTATCTCAAAAGACCTAATCTAGGATTTTCATCGGGACGGACATTACTTCTAAGGGGTTTCCTCAACGATAGATATCCTAAAGGCAACCATGAGGGGGATAGAGTACACCGTTGAGCACATCGTTCACAACACCTATAGGTTATGAACCTACTAGCGTTCCACAAGACTGTCTAGAAAGAGTCTGTAGTCGTTATCCATACTCCGCTGAATAACTAGATCAACAACAACAATATCGAGGCCTCTCATCAGTTTATTACACATCAACTATTTACCCATGTTCTACCCAACATATTAGTAGATAAAAATATATATTTTTATACATAATTTAAAACATGTATAGCATGTTCAATCAATAAATATTCCACATAACAAATGAGGCACACACACATAACACACATTTCATAAAGAATAAATCAGATCTATGAGATAGAAGAAAGTGAATATACGTTCACACATACAATCAACAAAATATACACATAACCCGTATTCCATATCAAATACTTCATAATTATGTGTTAGAAGAAGGTAACTACACACTCACTTGATCAGAAGATGATCGAACAACACTACGACTTGTAGAAGTAGTATTCTTCGGTAGATCTGGAAGATCTTCACAAAAACCGGGCTTCTCGCGGGCAGAGCTTCGGCTTGGGAATTGCACTTCTCGGGATCTCCAGGGCTTCGGGACTTGCTTCGGGGATCGGGAATGATACCGAGGCTTCGGGATATGATTGGCACGCAAAACGATGCCAAACGAGAGAGAGAGAGAGAGAGAAGAGAAAATGTGCAAAAGAATCAGCTGCACTCGACTCCCTTTTATAGGGTCTGGATCCTTGATTTACACTGGGCGTAACCTGGATAGGATCGCTGACTCCCCCCCTTTGGATAATATCGGATATTTTATAATTAAAATTTAATATCGAAATTATTTAATAAACTTAAAAAATTCATATATTCCTCATACGAACTCCATTTTCGACGTTCTTTATATCCCCGCGTTGGTGAGACTACGCTCTACAACTTTCGTTTAGACTCCGTCGGCTAATTTTGAATTTATTTTTAGTAGGCCGGGACAGGAAAACTCCATTATAAATTCATAACTTCTTCATCCGACGTCCGCTTTCGCCTATCTTTGTATCGTTTCACTACTAGTAACAACATCTTCGATTCTCGTTTAGATTGTTTTGGCTAAAAACCGCTCGATCTCAAATCGATTATTCGGGTTGTATACTGTTAAGTCGAAACTTCAGAAAATCATAACTTCCTCATACGAAGTCAGATTTGGGCTTTCTTTTTATGCACGCACTCGGTTTAACGAACTCCTCAACCTTCGTTTAGATTACTAAGGCTAGATATCGTTCTATCTTAAATTCATATTTTACGTCATTCGGCGTCGTGTCGGTTCTGTCACGAAACTTAGACAGATCGTAACTTCTTCGTTCGGAAACCTCGTTTCAACTACTACAACATTATCCAAAGATATCGGCTTTATATACTATTTTATTTTGACTCTTATTTTTTATTCTTAATACATTTAAGTCACACAACTAAGCACAAAACACATAATACTCAAATGATACATCTTTATTATTTCAAGATAGGTTACAAAGCTTAACCTAAACTATTACATCAACATTAATGACAAGCTCAAAAACACAGGCGTTACATATATATATATATATATATATATATATATATATATATATATATATATATATATATATGGGGTAAACAAAAACCACACCGCAACTAAAATTAACCGCATAAACCGCAACCGCAATAAAACCGATGGTGAGGCTTTTTGTTTTTCAAAAACCGCAAATTTTCGGTACGACGCGGTTATTAGTTTCCAAAAACTGCAAAAAAACCGCACTTCACCGCATATACTTTATACAATTTTTTTTATCAACTATTAGTTTATTAAATATTAAAAATAAGACAAGTCCTACATACTTATAAAGCTAGTATTTTTTCTTGAATCTCATGCATTTGAAACCCCCATCCTTTTTGTAACACCATAAAAATTTGAACAATTTTTCACTTTTGGAAACCATAAAATATCATTTGCAATCATAATTAAAAACAGTGTGTCAACATTGTATCAGTACAAAACACAAGATCAAAATACATAAACTCCGGTGTGCGTGTGTACGAATCATGTCGGCGCCTTCCCGCGACCACCGCTGGTACCTGAAACACATAACACATAACACTGTAAGCATAAATGCTTAGTGAGTTCCCCAAAATACCACTCTAACACATAATAGCCACTCGAGGCTGTAACTCTGTTGACCCTCAGGTCTATGTGTCTCAGTGGGGCCCTCCAGCCCTAACTCCCTATGGGCCTTCTGGCCCTAACTCTGTGGACCCGAAAGTCCTAACTCTATGGACCCGAAGGTCCTAACTCTGTAACTCTAAATCATGCATAACACATATCACAATAAATCATAGCACATAAATAACATGCAATTACACTGGCATATAACTCTAGAATACTCTATTACATAACTCTGTTACCACACTAGGTAAAGTATAGTGAGAAGACTCACCTCAGGTATCTCGGTAATCTCTTACTCGGTAACGCTGGTCTAACCTCCGCCTAATCAAAATAAATACCCTAATTATTATAACTCTCAAAGGCTAGACTATGTCCTCTTATGACACTCTCAGAAGGGTAAAAGACCATTTTACCCCTCTCACAACTCAAAATCCCCACAATAGACCATACCCTAAAAGTCAATTCAAAAGTCAACTTTCCGGGCTACGCTGCGCGTACCGGATGTGTACGCTGGGTGTACCCGGCTGCCTCC